TACAATCTAGGAGGGAGGGGATAGTGGTAGAAGAGGTAATTAGCTATGGGGGATGGAGTGGTAGGAAGAGTAGAGGATTCCAGTACTAGCTGGGGTCGGGGTAGGCTTCGCTGAAGAGATGGGTTTTCAGAGTGCACCTAAAAGTGAGCAGAGTAGGCGATAGCCTGATAGATTGGGGTAGGGAGTTCCAGAGGATGGGTGAAGCCATTGAGAAATCCTGGAGACAAAGATGCTGCAAGCGGGAGTTTTTACACCAACACCGCAAGCGCAACACCTCAGTGTGAAAACATACATAAATATACATTCACATACATAGGGAACTATTTTTCTTGAGCTTTTCATGTGCTTTTTTCATGCAAAAACGCTTCAAAAACGCCTCAATGTGAAAGTAGCTTTATAAAGTCCATTGTTTATATATTGTAAATGTTCTTAGAAATAAAGTAATTTGTTCTTTTACATGTTCTTATATGAAGTCTATTATTCTTTTACATTTCTTTTTAGTGTGAAAAGATCAGAGGTTCTCTAATACTGTCCTCTGGTATTATGATCTATCAAGATATCACAGATAGATATCATACAAACCAACATGGACGCAAAGGTATGATCACTAATTTACAAAAACAAAATTGTATAAAAATATATATATCTTCATTAACATACAATGATATATTTAATAGTAAACAATTGTGGGATATGGTGTGACTCGTACATTTTCTTAATATTATTACATATATTTTGTCTTTTGATATACCAGCCCTTCTTTCCTTGATATGCAGAAATTCCCACAAGAGCTTTGGTAGATCTAGCTACTTACCTCAATTCATTGTTTGTCCCTGAGGAATGCCACAAAACACGCATGTTGGTGGAGCCCGAGTAAGCACTCTGTGGTGTATGTGTTCTGTGTGATGGGGTTCATGGTTTTGTATGTTTTGGAGTATATGGAACAAAGTATAATATCTGTCTGCTCTGTGTATTGGGGTGTATAGTGCGGAATTTAAGGTGTATGGTGGTGTGTGTATTGCAGGGCATGAAGGTGTCTGTATTGGCATGTCTGGTGCTGTATCTATTGGGATGTATGTACCGTTTATTCAGATATATGTGACTATAATAATATGGTGTATGAGCTGCATGTATTGGGGTGTTTGGTGGAGTGTATATTGGGTTGTATGCGGTGGGGTATTTAGGTTTTGTGCTGCCCTAGGCAACACAAAAAATTGGCACCCCCCTTCGCATAACCTTGCAGTGTAATGAACACTGATTGGGTGCTCCTCAGGAAAGGAAAGTGTCCGGCTCATCCTTTATCCCTTTCGCTGCCAGAGATGTTTTTGCTTTTTTTTTTTGCACAAGTTTAAAAAATAATTTTAGGCCTGAAGATTACATAATACCCCTTTTGTGTATATAGGGGTCCAGGACACCGTGTGTATAGGCTGTGACCATTGGTATTCATAGTTTCTGTTGTTTCAGGGTTCATGGTGCTGTGTGTATTGGGGTGCATATTGCCATGTGTACTGCAGTGCTTAGTGTTTTGGAGTGCATAGTGTGCACTGTATGGTAAGGTGACAAGATTTTCAAATGGCCATGTTGAATTTTATTAGGGGTGTGGCAGGGGCAGAGCAGGGGGGCATGGATAATATGAGGGGTGTTCAAGTCAAACCGAGACTTTTAATATTACAGGTACAAAAAGGGATGCTAGCGTGGCGGTACTGCACGCAGTAGTAAGTGGCAAGTGTGCCCTATTACTGATACACATGTCACAGGCCAGTCCAGAGACCAGTAATCAAGATGTCAGACAACAGTGTTAGTGCATGCATGGAACAGCGTGTGCTGATGAAGTTTCTTGTGAATGAAGGTGTAAGGTTAATGAAGGTTAAAAACGTGAGTTTTTCAGCTTTTTTTTAGCGCTTTTGCATTAGAGTTGTTTTGTCATGATTAGCAGCATTTTCCCGTGTTTTTCCGCTTTTGCGATTTTTTTTAGTGTTTTTTTTACCCCCCAAAATTTTGGGGGATCAAAAAAAGTCCAAACACGCCGGTTTGCTGCATTTTACCACGTGTTGCCGCGTTTTTAGCGTTTAGAGCGTTTTTACAGCTAAAAAAACTCTCCTAGAAACCCACTAGTCCTGGGTTTTTTTTTCCAGCCAAAAAACATTGATTACAGTCTGTGTGCATGAACACATAGGATAACATGCTGGGGGGTTTACTGGCTGTAGAAAAAAAAACGTAAAAAGCCAAAAACAGCCGCTGTAAAAACGTCCAGTGTACATGAGACTAAAAGATTTGTTTCCCTTTAAGAAGATTTCGTCTCTGCACTTCCCTATACTGTCATGACATAGGCAACCAATTAAAGACAGAATTAATTTTGGGTGGGGGAAATGAAAAGAAGATAAGGGCTGTAGAAACTTGTTTGCAACACAACGGCCTAAGGTTCAGGACAGGTATGTTATCTGATCAGAAAGAGGCAGGTTTTGTCCAAATATTTTCTGTCTGCTGTTCTAGAGACATTAATGGACCCATATTTTACTAATAGGCCTTTTTAAGCTGGCCGTAGACAGAGTGAAATTTGTCTGGATCAGCCGGGACCAGCAGAATTTCAATCTGCATGTGGCTGTCTCTGTTTGACAGAAGTCAATTGTTTGACTTCTTTTGAATGACTTTTGCCAAGCAGTGACTGTATGAGGGTTTTTTTTTTTTTTTTTTTTTATATTCCAGCCTGCTGACTGAAAGGGAAGAGAAAAAAACAAACTTCTCTTTGGCCAGCGTAAGTTTGATGGTTGCTATAGTATTTTGAATATTTTTTAAGGCTCATGTATAAAATCTTGAGCAGAGAGGAACAAAGTCATTTATGTGTGTTGTCTTACTGTAATTTTTTTGGCAGACTTTTTTTTTTTGGTTTTTTGTTTTATGCAACCCACTTATTTTTTAATGGACTCCAGCTCCACCAACCAAACTCACAGGGGGAAGTAAAGAAAATTGCTCAGTTCCCCCATCAACAGTGTTGCTGGGGAATCTCTCCTGCAGTGCTCTTGTATTCTGGCGGAGGGGGAGCCTTCCCTGCTGCCAGAACACAATGATTGCTGCTAGCGGCTATAGCTTTTGTCGGCTTCAGCAGTACAACCTGCCTGTTGGATTTTTTTTTTTTTTTTTTTTTTTTTGCATGCAATCACTGCTGTTGTCTATAGCTGCTAGCAGTGATCATTGTGTTCTACCAGTAGGGATCCCCACCAGCACAATACAATAGCACTGCAGGAGAGATTGTCCCATCAACACTATGTTTATGGGGTATCAAGCAATTTTCTTTCCTTTCATCCGTGGTGGAAGGAAAGTTGTATAATTTATGGCTTGCCTAAGTGTTGCTGACCGCATGTTAAGCAAAGGATAGATCCCATGAAGCCTCACATCTGTGCAGACCTGCTGGTACTGGACTGAATGGCAGTCTCAGCCTGGGCTACCAGTAGGTCATGTCCCCAAGAGAGGCCCATCCTTTGCTTAACCATTGCTTGGAGCTGAGACAAGCTCCTTACTTGGCCTGCATTCATAGTAGTGGGCATAGAATTGCTTTCCCTTGTAGCCTGAGCAGCACACATTTTCCATTACTGGTTGCTGACAACCTCCTGCTCTTGTGGATTCCAAACAATGTTACACACATGACCTGGTTTTCTAAATTATGAAGTTAAGTGTAGTGTTTTAAAGTGATGCTGTGCTGAATCTTCATGGATAGAAAAGACCATAAAAAAATCCCACTGCACATGATTGGATGTCTGGCCCAACAAACTTTGGTTAATCTTCCCAGAAATGCTGGCCAAGAAAAACTGATGTATGTAGTTGGTTGTAAAGTTCACAGAAAACCTATAGTGTAAGCAGTGGCGTCCCGAGGCGGGTGCGTTCCGCACCGGATGACACCGACCACACGGGGTGACGCCAGACCCGCTCCATAAAAAGGTAAGTTGTAAAGCAAGCCGACTATCCCCGCAGGATGGATCTGATCCATCCTGCGGGGATCGTCGGCTTTCTTTACAACTTACCTTTTCTTGAAGCGGGTCTGGTGTCACCCCGTATAGGTTGCATGCCGACGATCCTCATCGGCATGCAACCTATACAGGGTGACACCAGACCCGCTTCAAGAAAAGGTAAGTTGTAAAGAAAGCTTGACGATCCCCGCAGGATGCATCGGATCTGTGGATTATGGATCGGAGTCCAATCCATTATGCTCAATCCGCAGATCCAATCCATTCTGCGGGGATCGTCGGAGGGGCTGTTACCGCACCGGTGACACCTACCCTAGGGATGCCTCTGAGTGTAAGAAATCTGTAGGCTGCAGAATTAGTTTGAAAATAAGAGTTACCATGCTGTAATATTGATCCAGTGGCCTTGATATGAGTCCCTGACACTCAGCCTGAACAAGCATGCTAACAGTGATGTTAGAAGACCTGATCAGATCAAAGGCCCCATGCACACAGGACACTTCTGAACGATGGAAACTGACTGCTGGAAAACGTAGGTTAAAAAAGTCTGTTTAGCTGTGTTTAGATAATGTTTGCGTTTTAAAAGCATTTTTTTAAAGATAAGCACAGGAGAACCTCCCAAATGCACTGAAAAGTGGTAAATTAACTATTTCAAACTTTCATACAATACACAGAGTAGAAGCAGAGACAACAGTATGTGTTGAAATTCGCTTAGGTGTGAGTTGCTCATTAACATTTCTTTTAGCAGAATCTTGTCCACTTCTGCATGGAAACCAATCAGGTTCCAGCTAAAGCTTAAATGAACAAGCTGAGGTTAGAAGCTGCTTGGCTACCATGCACAGCTGCAGCAGATTTAGAGTGAATCAGCTTTAGTAAATTTCCCCACCCCATTGTTTGTGAAATCCTAATATCCACTGATTGCCATTAACAAGGAATGGATATATTGTACTTTTGAAATGTTAATATGCTATAAATATATTGACATTAATAGTGTGGTGTTTTTTTTTTTTTTTTTTTTTTTGCAGAATTTCTTTGTTTATGATGGGGAAGGGCAGCCGAGTTGTAATTTGTGGACTGGCCACGGTTGGAAAAACTGCTATACTTGAGCAGGTGATCTATGGAAATCATATAGTTGGTAAGATTCTTCAACATAAGCTGTAGTGGACCTTTTGGTGTAAATGCATTGAGGTTCCATGCACACTAGGTGCTGAAAAAAAACTGCAGAAAAACATTCAATATGAGCATTGTTTTGCCAGCATTTAGTAGTGAATAGCTGGTTAACCACTTGACCACTTGTCCTCCTGAGGATTTACCCCACTTCCTGACCAGGCCATTTTTTGCATTATGGCGCTGTTAATTTAACTGAGAATTGTGCGGTCATGCAACGCTGCATCCAAATGACATTTGTTTCCTTTTTTTTCCAACAAATTGAGCTTTCTTTTGGTGGTACTTGGTCACCTGTGCGTGTGGTGTGTTTTTTTTTTTTTTTTCTCAAAAAGACAATTTTGAGAACAATATTTTTGACTTTTTGCTATTATACATGTCCAGTAAAAATTAATTTTAAATTAAATTGTCATAAATGTAGGCCAAAATGTATTCTGCTACATGTCTTTGCTAAAAAAACAAAAACGAATACATGTAAATTGGCTTACTTGAAAGTTATACAAGTGTGTGTGTGTTGGGATTTTTTTTCTTTTACTAGTAATGGTGGCAATCGTCAACTTATAGCGGGACTGCGGCGGGCATTCTGACACTGGGGGAACTGACTTGGTGTCACTGACATCCCCAGTGACACCAATAAAGTGATCAGTGGTAATAAAAAGCACTGACACTGTACAAATGGGACTGGACAGGAAGGTGTTAACTTCTGGGGTGATCAGAGTTAATTGTGCGCTGGGTGTTTTACTATGGGACTGTGTCTGTGTGCTTCATTGTAACTTACGGTAACTCCTTTTCCAGGAGTCTTTCAGGGCAGCTCCAGTTACCCACCCTCTTTAGCAGTTGGTGATACAGTACAGTTCTTTTGTGTCTTGTATTGTCTCCCCAGGTGACTGGAGGTGCTGAGTCATGAACTGAGGTTGGTGTGGGGAGGCCAGACTTTTATTCTGGGTTAAGGTGTTCCCTCAGGTGGGAGGAGCCAAGGTCTCTTAGGGTGCTGTCTTGAAAAAGGCATTACCATAAGTTTAACTTTTGTGTGTGTGTGTGTGTGTGTGTGTGTGTGTGTGTCATTTCTTGAGGTGCTAAAATGACAGGGCAATAAAAAGAAAAGCATGTTGAGATCCATAGAACATTTTTGATTTATGACTTTTTTAACTTGTCACTTATGATATATTCACGCTTGCCATGGGTATATGTGGAATAACTCCCCAAAACACTCTTCCACTTCTCCTGAGTATGGGGATACCACATTCGAGAGACTTTGGCAGCCTAACTACATACAGGACCCCAAAATCCAATGACCACCCAGGCTTTCAAAGGGCATATTTCCTCAGATCACCTCCTCACTAACTATCTGTTTTTCAGAGGCCCTAAAATGCCAGGATAGTACAAACCCCCCCCCCCCCATGAACCCTTATTGGAAAGTATACACCCCAAGGAATTTGATAAAAGGCATGGTGAGTATTTTGCAGTTATAATTGTTGTCACAGGGTTTTGAAAGAATAAAAATTTGTGTTTCTTTCTTGGTTTTCCAAAAACAAATGATCTGCAAAATACTCATCATGCCTCTTTTCAAATACCTTGGAGTGTCTACTGTCCAAACAGGGGTCACTTGGAAAGTGGGGAAGGGGTGCTTCTACTATCCTGGCATTTCAGGGCCAACAGTAGAAGCTTATACCAGACATCACCTACTTTTCTAACCACTTGAAGACCAAACCTTTTCTGACACTTGTTTATTATTATTTATAGATTATTTATAAAGTGCCAATAGTTCGCTCAGCACTGTACATTACAATGTGATACACAAGGGTTCGAGAGCCCTGCTCCTTCGAGCTTACAATCTAGGTGGGAGGGGAACTTGAAAACGTGGTTTTTTTTTTTTTTTGTAGAAAACTACTTTTTCTGCTCCAAACACTGCTTTTGTTTACCCACACACACAGACCACACGAAAATGACCATGTTTGTTTAACTGTATTTTAAGCTGAGCTCCAGGTATGATCTCTATGGCATACATACATTTGTCCACCTTGGATCAAAGTGTGCTTGTCTCATGCTTGAGAAGCCACTGAGGAAGCTGAAATCACTGTTCAGCATGTCACCATTCAGATAATTCCTTGTATTGTGTTTAGAGGGACAGCCACTTGCACAGGACCTGGAAGATCACAGCTGTCTCTGTATCAGCACTGACTACTACAGTGATTACCAGTAGAGATGAGCGAATTATTCAAAAATTCGACTCGGCTGATTCGGCGAATTCGTGGAATAAATTCGAGTCGAATATATTCGCTGCGAATTTAACTTATAAAAAGGGTGTTTCTAGGCTTCAGAGAGCCTTTATATTAGTGCAGAACACTGTACCTTTAATTTAAATGCCCTTGGAGTCTGCTGGGGAAGAGAAATAATACTGTCAGTCAGTATGACATGCAGATGAGTGCCGTCGATCTTAGAATCACCGCACACTTCACTCATTTGGGCAGTCACGGGGCCAAAACCAGAGTGTGGAGCCACAGTGTGGCGGTGGAGGCAGCAGCAATGGGAGGCCATACAGCACCCTATGACAAAATGGAACCCACCAGCAGTGTGAGGAGACCTGAAAGTGGCACATGGCAGAGTGTGGCGATAGAGACAGCAGCAATGGGAGGCCGTACAGGGACCCATGACACACTCTGGACCTGGCAGCAGCAAGAGGAGGCGGTACAGGGGCCCATGGCAGAGTGGCGAAGCGTAAGCAGCTTAAATTGAAGGCCATACAGAGGCCTATGTTAAAAATAATAAGATGTTTGGGGCATGATTCATGGCGGATTTAGTCAGTTGTGTCAGGAACTGGTGGTTTGAAATCCAGACTAATCCACGCCTGATTCATTTTCACAAACGTGAGTCTCTCCACACTTTGGGTGGACAGTCGTGTCCTCCGCGGAGTTACAATACCTCCTGCCGCACTAAACACGCGCTCCGATGCCACGCTACTGGCCGGGCATGACAGCCTTTCAAGGGCAAATTCAGCTAGTTGGGGCCAAAGGTCAAGTTTCGTTGCCCAGTAGTCAAGGGGATTGTCTACCTCGGTTGGCAGGGTGCTGTCCAAGTAGGCCCAAGCCTGTTGTTTGAGGTCCTGCTCCACGTCCACCTGCTGCTGCTGCTGCTGCTGCTGCTGCTGCTGCTGCTGCGGCTGGTTAGTAGTTTCCTCACTGCACTGGTGAAGAAAGCTACTCATCGACTGCAGACTGAGGCAGCCGCTGCTGGTGGAGCTGCCACTGCTCCTACCACCCCACCCCTCCCCTGCTGCCATGGCAGCGGAACGCGAGCGCACAGGGCCCACAGTGTCTGAGGATGGACGTTGGCGCAGAAAGGCAGAGACCAACTGACTACATAGGTGGTTTTTATAGTACGTTATTTTGGCCTCCCTCTCAGCAGGTGTGAAAGGCCACCATTTTTGAACGGTAGCGAGGGTCCAACAAGGTGGACAGCCAAAAGTCATCCCTCTGTCTGATGGTTATTATTCGGCTGTCGCTACGCAAGCAACCGAGCATGCTATGGGCCATTTGTGCCAAGGAATGCGAGGGACTCCCTGCCTCCATCTCCACAGCATACTGCCACGGTGAGTCTGGGTCCTCTGTCTCCTCCTCCTCCTCTACCAGATGCTCCTGCTCCTCCACTCCTGTCCGCTGAGTGGAAAAACCACCCATTTCACTCAATAATTCCTGAGCACCAATGTCCTCCTCTACCTCCTCCTCTTCTTCCTGTCCTGCCCCCACAGGGGTCATGTGGCGTTGAGATCTGTGCGCCACGTCTACCGCACCCTGACCAGCCATTGTTAACAGCATTTGTTCCAGGACGTGCAACAGAGGAATGACGTCGTTCATCCCATAGTCCTGCCGACTCACAAATAGCGTGGCCTCCTCAAAGGGCTTGAGCAAGCGGCAGGTGTCACGCATGAGCTGCCAATGGCTGACATCTAAGTTACACAGGGGAGTACCTTTATCCGCTTGTAACATCAGGAAATCGGTGATGGCCTTTCGCTGTTCGTAAAGGCGGTTAACATATGTAGGGTTGAATTCCACCTTGTTGCAACGTCGCAGATCAGGCGATGCTGTGGAATTCCGTTCTGCCGCTGCAGCTCAAAGAGGGTGTGCTTTGCGGTGTAGGAATGGCTGAAATGCATGCAAAGTTTACATGACATTTTAAGGATGTCTTGCAGTGGGATGGTGGATTTTAGGAACCGCTTGACAACCAGATTGAACACGTGAGCCATGCATGGCGCATGGCACAACCTTCCTTGACGCAGAGCAGACACCATGTTCTTTCCGTTGTCGGTCAACATGGTTCCGATTTTCAGTTTGCGCGGAGACAGCCATCTGTCGATTTCTCTGTTCATTACACTCAGAAGTTCCTCCCCTGTGTGACTACGTTCGCCAAGGCATACCAGGTGCAGCACAGCGTGACACCGTTGCGCCCTGCACATGTGATATGCCGGTTGGGTAATGGGACTTGGCACGGGGGTGGCGGCTGAGGACACGGCGGAAGAAGAGGTAGTAGAGGCGGACATCTTTGCTGGACCAAGGACGTGCAAACATGGAGGCAAAAGCGGCGTGACCTGTCCAAGTTGCTGGTGCGGCTGTGCCGGCACCACGTTCACCCAGTGGGCCGTAAATGACATGTACTGTCCCTGACCGTAGTTACAGCTCCACACGTCGGCGCTGCCGTGCACTTTGGCAGAGACAGACATGCTCAAAGACTGGCCCACCATCTCTTCTACATGTGAATGCAGGGCTGGCACTGCCTTTTTGGCGAAGAAATGCCGGCTTGGCACTCCGGCGCGGCACAAGCCATCATTTCTCGGAAAGGTGCTGAGTCCACCACTTGGAAAGGGAGGGACTGCAGCACCAGCAACTTGGACAGGATGACGTTCAGCTTCTGCACTGTCGGGTGCGTGCTCGCAAACTGTTGTCTCTTGGAAACGGATTCCAAGAAAGACTGCTGACGGAATCCGTGAAGAGGAGTAGCAGGAGAAGGAGCATCTGAACGAGCAGAAGATACCAACGAGCGACAAACCCCTCAGCAGAGGTGTTGGAGCCTTGACTGGCTGATAGAGGGCGATTGACGTCGGGTGACGGAGCAAGTAACGGAGCGGGTGATGGAGCTGGGGCAGGCAGAACTGCCGTATCTTTATCACGGTTTTCCCAGGCCACCGAATGGCGACGCTGCATATGCTGCCGCAACGCTGTAGTCACAACATGGGCCCCCTGGCCACGCTTGACTTTCTGGCCACATAGTCGACATACGGCTACGTTTACTTCCTCGGGCGGCTTGACGAAAAATTGCCACACCGCCGAGTAGGAAACTTTGCCCCCGCTACTCCTCACTGGCTGACTGCTACTTCCTCCGTGCACACCGGCACCACTACTGGCCGTGGTGGTAGGCTGCAGTGGAGCTGGTGCTCTACTCCGTGGCCGTTTGCCTCCACTGACACTGCTGCGACCCTGCTGCCTCCTGGGCAACCCACCGACTGTTTTGCTCGCTGCCAAGCTGGCACCCTCTTCTCCTGATGATGCGGAAGCAATAGCCTGATGACGACGAGGCTGCCAAGTGCGATCAGCCTCATCATCATCAATTAGGGTCTCCGCCTCACTACTAGCCCCCTCGGCTGCGTGTGGGTCAGGAGACAGACCTGTCTCTAGACCGGCTACCGAGCCACTCTCCTCGCCAGTACTTCTTCGCCTGGCTGCTGAAGAGGCGGATGTCTCCCCCCGTTCCTGACCGCCCTCTGTTAGCTCTTCCTCACTGTACAGTGGGGCTGAGCCCACAGCATGCGATACTTCACTTGGTGAGGGAACACCAAAGGACAGGGGCAGGTAGAGGACATGTGATTTCAGTGGGCTTGCTCCCGGGCCATGCCAACTAACGGTTGTGTCTGACGTACCCACCGACCGTTGGCTGTAGGTGTCAGAGGTGACCTGGGAAGAGGAAGACGACCGAGCCAACCAATCGATGACGGCAGGGTTGTCGGTGGAGACACGACCGCTGGATGACACCGGGAGCACTGGCCTCTGGCTGCGACTAGTGCTGCCTTGACCCCTTCCTCTGCTGCCACGTCTGCTCGCTCCTGAAACATTGCCTCCTCTGCCACTCCTCTGCGTGTTGTCTGACATACTCTTTAATTCAACGATTCTGTGTCTGTCCCTGAGTAACGATTCTGTGTCCCTAAAGTCTCTGTGGCCCTAACTCTGTCCCTAATACACAGAGGTCTGTCTCTCTTGAATGACCGGAGGCTAATGGAGAATTCTAAGATGGCCGCGATTTATAGCTCCACCATTACACAGTGCTGGCTGGCTGGCTGCTGATTGGCTAATGCGATCGCATGTCATGAATGAATGCATTATGGGTCAGCGCGCCTTGTCTGCGCGCCTTCCCAGAGATCCCCGCTCCGTCGCCACACATGTCGCCACCATTTTTGGGAAAATTCGATTTGTGCATCCAAAGTTTGCTAATTTTCGGATTCGGCGCGAATTGAATATTTCCTAATCTTCGAAACGAATTCCACTTCGTCATGTTCGATTCGCTCATCTCTAATTACCAGCTTCCCCAGCAGCTCCTCAGGGATGAGTGATACATAGATTTACATTGGGCCAATGTAACTATGCAATCAAGATCATACCTGGAGTTCAGGTTTACCAACGTAACTTTGATTCATTCAATGACCGCACTGAAAGGACTTGTGTTGGGCAAATTCAGCAGGCTTTCACGTGCCTTTTGCTTGCCTTTTGACAGCAGTTTGAGATGCTTCTGAGGTCTGACAGGTGAAATTGACCTATTTCTGACCTGTAATTGGTAAATGAGCTGCATCAATCTGCTTTTGCATTACCATTGACTTAAACACAGTTTTGACGTGAAGAAAAGGCAAGCCCAGGTCCTAAACATGACATTTTTGTTCTGTAACTACTGTGCTTGCCCATTTGCAGGTCAGGAACATAGCGACACCCTGGAAGATGTTTATGTTGCTTCTGTGGAAACTGAACGTGGTGTGAGGGAACAGTTGCGTATTTACGACACACACAAGGACTTCAGGATGGAATGGAGTTGCCAAAACATTACTTTTCCGTTGCTGATGGATTCATTCTCGTCTACAGTGTGGACAGCTTGGAATCTTTCCGAAGGGTTGAGCAGCTTAAAAGGGATGTTGACAGATTCAGAGATAAAAAGGAGGTTTGTTTAAAGAACCTTGCTGAGCATTTAACAGGGATTTTTGTGAAAATGTACTGTATGGTCACTACATCTCCCTTCAGCATAGCGAGCAGAGCATGTCTTATTTAGGAAAAAACTTGGTTTCTGTTTGGTAATGCAAGCTTTTCCTGGTTTATGTGGAACAAGAGCACACCTGAACCAGCTTTCTTGGTCTTCTAAGGTTCTGATGTCAGTAGGCATGATATGAATGGGAGCAGGCTCCAAAGTTTATGAAGCTGAGTTTAGATAACTGACTGTACATGATATCTCAGATTGGAAGGGTTCCTTTTCCCGACTGCTGTTTTGAGATCTCTCCACAGGTGCTCTATGGGATTGAGATCTGGACTCATTGCTGGCCAGTGCAGTACTCTCTGGCATTTTGAAACAATTTCTGGATGCTTTTTGATGTGTGGTTTGGGTCATTGTCCTGCTGTAATTAAGACCCATCTCCTCTTGACGGAGACCCAACTTTCTGTCACTGGGCTCTACATTGCACCCCAGAATTCTTTGGTAGTCTTCAGATTTCTTAATGCCAGCGGCAAAGCAACCCCAAAACATTGTGCACCTCCATGTTTGAGTGTAGGATTTGTTCTTTTCTTTAACCGCCTCCTGCCTGCCATATAAGAAAATGATGGGTGGGCAGCGACTCTAGGAGGACATGATATACTCCCACTCTAACTGCGCATGCTCGCCCCTGGGGGCGTGCGGCGTGGCGATTGGTGGTACGCTGTGTTACCGGGACAAAGCAAATCGCAGTAAGAGCTGATGACACAGGCTGTATCATGATCAGCTTTGTCCAATCACAGCTGATTGCATGTAAACAAGGAAATGCCGGTTATCGGCAGTCCTCTCATGCTGAAAGCATGTGAGAGGAGAGCCGGTAAGCTGCATTCCTCGGAGGGACATCAACACTGATCATCAGTGCCATATACACCTTAGATTGTACGCCCCTTGAGGGTTAGGGACAGATGTGAATGTGCAACATATATATGTAAAGCGCTGCGTAAATTGACGGTGCTATATAAGTACCTGAAATGAGTGATGCCTGTCAATGCCCACCAGTAATGCCTGTCAATGCTTATCAGTGCCCATCTCTGCAGCCTCATTGTCGCACATCAGTGAAGGAGAAAAATTACTTGGTTAAAAAATTTTATAACAGAATTTTTCAAAATTTTCTTTTTGCAAAAAAAAAATGAAAACCCCAGTGGTGATTAAATACCACCAAAAAGCATCTGTCTATAAAAAAAATAAAAAAATTGGGTAGTGTCGCATCACTGCGCAATTGTCATTCAAAGTGCCCCCAAAAGCTGAAAAGTGACCTGGGCAGAAGGGGGTAAAGGTGCCCAGTAGACAACTGGTTAAAGGCTACATTGCTTTTTCTGAAAATAGAATGATGGGCTTTACCAAAAAAAACTAATTTTTTTTTTTCGTTTTGTCCACAGCATTTTCCCGAAAGGATTTTGCCTTCCTCAGTTAAGTTTTTTTTGGCAAACTCCAATCTGGCTTTTTTATGTTTGTGTCAGCAGTGGGGTCCTCCTGGATCTCCTATCATAGCATCCCTTTTTCATTCAGATGGCGACATATAGTGCAAGCTGACAAAGTTGTACCCTGTGTCTGAAGGTCATCTTGAATTTTATCTGGAAGTTGAGGTTCTTTTGCCACCATTAGAACAATCCTTTGTTACAATCTTTCATTTTTCCCTTTTGTCCACATCCAGGGAGATTAGTTAGTGCCATAGTCCAACATCTCGACAATGTTGGACACAGGAACATTTAAGATCTCTAGGGTTTGTTCTCAAGTCTTTAGACAATTCTTTGCTGAGACACAACAGAAAAAGCAACTTTTCACTTTTTTTTTTTTTTTTTTTTTTTTTTTTTTTTTTGTCACTCCACCAGGATGGCACATCAATACATGCCATTGCCAGGAGGTTTGATGTGTCTCCCAGCAGTCTCAAGAACATGGAGGAGATTCCAGGAGAGTTCCTATAGGCTGAAGGAATTGAATGGGCCCCCACGCTTGCCTGACCTAAATCCAATAGAAAACCTCTGGGATATCAGTCCATCTGCCGCCGCCAGGTTGCACCTCAGACTGCCCAGGAGCTCCGTGATCTCCTGGTCCAGATCCTGGAGGAAATACCCCAGGACACCATCTGTTGTCTCATTAGGAGCATGCCCTGACATTGAGTACCATTTTGAATTGCTTCAATGAAATTTCAACAAAATTAACTAGCCTGCTGCATCATTTTTTCACTTTGATTTTCGGGGGGTGTCTTTCAGTTCAGTCCTCTGTAGGTTGATTTTCATTTCCATCAAACGATGGGGCATCCTTGCGTTCCTAACACATTACCCAGTCCATATCCGTTTAGATATCCAGCATGATATTTATCCCCATTGAGGTCTGATAATTGATACAGGTGAGTTTAATTATAATTGCAGGAGCATCACAAACCTGGAATGCAATTTTGAGAAGGTGACAATTTTGTCCAGTCCATTTTTGGGGGTTTTGCATGGAATGTCAGATTTGGCTTTTTGTTTCTCCACTTTTGTGTCCTACCAATACAAAGGAAATATTCAACATTTTTCTGAATGAAGTGGGGCATTATCTGACAGAAATGCAGGGGTGCCAATAGTTTTGGCCATGACTGTATGAGGGATCCATCAAGCAGACTAAATGTACATGACCAAGGCTGCTTGGCTTTTTTTTTTTTTTTTTTTTTTTTTTTTTAAGTTTCAGATTGTTTGGATGAATAGTGAGGTGTTTGAACCCTTGTCATGTTTAAATTGCTGTTCTGCACCTGGGAGATTTACCTTCCCTTTTTTGTCCTGGTGTCACTAAGGGTAGGTTCACACCTATGCAGTTTGCGATTTTGATCTGTTTCTGCAATGCGTTTTTTGCATGTGGTGGTTTTTTTTTTTTTTTTTTTGGTTTTTTTTCTTTTGGGTGTTTTTTTTTTTTTTTTTTTTCCATTTATTGCTAGGCAGATTTAAAACTTATCAACACTAAATGCGTTTCTGTAGCATTCCCATTGAGGTCCTATAGAACCAAAAACGCAACTTTTTTTTTTAAATTAAAAACAAAAGTCTCTGACCCTTTCCAAAGACGCATCGGGTGAAATGCGGAGATGTGAACGTGTCCCATAGGAAATCATGTTGCATGTACTGTAGTGCGTTTCTGCAAAACACTGCTGAAAACTCTTGGGTGTGAACCTTGGGTAAAACAGAGTGATGGGAAATGCTACATTTTACACTTGTCTTGGCAACCTGAATAAAGCTGAAATCTTTCAATGCAGATCTCTTCTGGTGACACCTGTCAGTGGGGATTAAAGCTGACCATAGTTGGATAGCATTTCAAATACATTTCTTAAGAAAAACTGTGTGAAAATTCTCAGAACAGTCGTTTTTGTCATTTGAAAAAATATAGTTTGCTTTTAACATTTGATTTTGGAATTCATAGCCTCTCCCAAACAAACCTCATACACTGTTTAGAAATCGATTTTATTCCAGAAAAAAGTACCATCCTACTTCTTATTTTCTCATTAATTCGGAAAATGAACATATATTTGGCCCACTAATGATTAGAGAAATTATTTAATTTTTTTTTTTTTTGACTGTTTCCTCCACGAATTGTCATTGAAATTCTATCCATTTATGGCAAGCTCTACTTTCTGGTGTCTTTTAAAAAAGAGTGGATGGGTCATCTCCCATTCATCAAATTTCCTGTTGTGTCTTTGAGAAATTAAGAAAAATTGGATACAGCTGTAAAACATTGGTTGTAGGACCCATGTTGATAACTCCCGGTTATCAGCCAAACTGGTACCCCTTCCAAATGACTTTGTGAGCACGCTGCAGGAAAGTTATAAATAAGTACTAAAGTGCCCTAATTATTGAATCCTTACCGAGCAGCTCTGACTAGGTCTGCTCAGCCTGTTGTAAATTGATTCATCGAGAATGTGTCATGAGTACATAAAATAAATTTTCCTTTGCAAAAGAAAGTGGATGACAGAATAAATTGGTTGCCTATAGTAATCTTTTTAAAATGAGCAAAATGTGCCCAATTGGGCACAGGTGGAAGGTGGGTGTAACAAAATTATACATTTTAAAAGCCCTAATTTTAAAAGATCTAATTAAGGGCAATCACATAAAAGGAACTACCAGGAAAGCTTAAAGTGGAACTAAACTCTCAATCAATATTAACTATTTTTAATCCGTATTCTGCTAGCTTTACTAACTAGGTAGGAAGGTATATTTTATTCACTTGGTTCCATTTTTTTTTTTTTTAATTTTAAATCCGTTGCTATTTGGTTTCTGGCCTAGGCCAAAATTATGTCATACATCCAGAGTCTTGATGGGTTTTTTTTTTTTTTCTCCCATCTGGAGGATGAGCTTTCTCAGCTAAGCACACCTTTCTACCTAAATGCTTGAGCTAAGGGCAGATGGATTCCAGGATGTAAATGCTTCATTGTGAATCTGCCCTTACTCAAGATGATGGGGCTAGAAATGCTAGGAGGTGTTTGAAAGTTATTTTTCAACAAAATAAGGCATGGAGACATGATGGATGAGTGAGTTTCATTTTGAATATTAAAAAATGAATTCAAAAACATTTTTAGTTTCTGGTGCTCAGATGCAGTTGAGTACTAAAAGTGAATCTCCACTTTTGCAGTCAAATTGGAAAACACCCCCTGTGTGATTGTGTTCCCATTTTAATATAACATTCCTAAAGTAGTACAAAAAATGTCTTGCTTTTCTAGGTGTTTGGTGTATGCCTCAGGCAGAAAACAATCTAAATTGAACAATTTGAAATCAGAGGAACTCTGTGTGGGAGATTTACTAAAATTGGTGCCTTAGATTGTACACCCCTTGAGGGTTGGGGACTGATGTGAATGTACAATATATATGTAAAGCGCTGCATAAATTGATGGCGCTATATAAGTACCTGAAATAAATAATACAAATAATTGGTGCGTATGTAATCTGGTGCAGCTGTGCCTAATCG